TCGGGCCAGCGCCGGGCTCCGTTGCGGTGCTGCCCTCAGGCCGCGGCCACCCAGCAGGCTGTGATCTCCTCCAGACTCCCCCTTTAGCTGCTCTAGCCGTCTTCGCTTTAGTGTTCTCCCCCTGAGCAGCATGAGGGTGCCTTGCGATTGACGGTACTCCTTGCATTGGTCTCGGGTGACTCCAGAGCAGGTCATTGCCGGAGGCACTCCTGCTTATGGTAAACAATGAAATGTGTTACATGACCTTGATTTTTTCATAGTCAGTCTAACATGCTGCTTGATGAAAGACCAGACCTAACAAATGGCAAGCAGGCAGGCATGTCAAAGCAGCCTTGTTGGCTTGATAAAGGTAGGAAAGATACAGACCAGCTGACATTGCAGATGTCTCTGGGGATGTGAGCTGCAAGAAGTAGTGAAAGCTTCCTATCTAGGCAGGGAATTTTAGAGCTGCATCTGAGCTAGGCAGAAAGCCACATGTGAAAACCAGTTTTTTCTAAAATTGATGTGATTTGGAATGATATGGCTAGCATTCCTCAAAAATACAATGTGTAGTGCCCAGATATGGTGAATGAACTTGACTTAATCTGAAATTAATACGGGGGGAAGATCTTTTGCTGTTACTAGGGGGATGAAAGACACCAATGACGATTTGAAGTAGAAACATCTGCATGACAGCAGTGGGGTGGTGGAGGCACTAAAGGCATCTGCTTTACTTAATGATTTCTGTTCCTTTGGGACCCTGGAGGAGAGTGAGTGTTACCAAGAACGAAAGAGTAAGGAATCTAATATGTCAATATTATTCCCAGAAACTCAAAACAGGATTAAATGGTGAAAGTCAGTGGTCCTGCACCCACGCTGGTTTGAAGGATAACAGAGAATCCTATCTAGGTTTGTTGTGTGTACCTGTTTTGGGTGAATATTTGTTGAAACAAAACTGTCCTTGTCCTACTCTTTGTTCAGATAACTCTTGCATAAGGTAATGACACATTAGTGAGTAGTTATTTTGTGTTTCTCATGGTGAACAAGAACTGTCTAGTGGAGAAGCACAGGCTTAAATTTCTGAGTTGATCACACCTTTCCAATTTTTCTGTAGGCAACACATTCAATTTGTTCCAGTATTTTCCACGTGGAAAATTTCTCCTCCCTTACAAGGTAGCAAGTGTCAATCTCTTCTTTGTCCCTTGCTTGCTTCTGTTCCCACTTCTCTGATGGGGTCTTGTGGTTTAACAGGAATGCTTGGCTGTGGTTTGAGGATCTGCTTTATACAGACTTCCCTGTACCAGACAACTGATTGAAGCCTGAGGCGGTGTGTCATCAGATCTGAACTTGTTTGTTACTGAATTTGCCCAAATGATTGGGAGTCCTCAGCCTTTCTCTCCCCGCACTCACTTTTCAGTTTAGCTTGCTTTATTTTTAGGCTGCTGTTGCTTGGTAAAATGCCACTGCGGGGGAAGGAGGAGCATTTTAGGTTTTGTCTTTGTTTCTCACCATCTAATTAGCAATAAATTTGTCTGTGAGTTGAGTTTCTTTTGCCCGTGATGGTAATTGGTAAGGAATCTCTGTCTTTATCTTGACCCACGAGCTTTTAATCTTATTTCTTCCCCCTATCCTATTGTGGGGGGGGAGTGGGAAAGGCTGGGTGAGTGTCTGGCAGCCAGCCAAGGTCGGCCCACTCCAGCAGCTTAAAAAGATGCCCCAGATTTTGAAGCGGCAGGATCTGTACTTTGCTTTGAAATTCACATCCCGTGCTGCCTGTTCTTTCCTAATTCTGCAATTATTGGCACAGTGATTTTTATGAATGCTGCTTTATTAAACAAAGTCAAAACGAGAATGAGGACAATTCATTTGGCTGGGGTGGAGAAGTGGAGAGTAAGGCCTTTCAACAAATCAGGAAGAAATCTTTTTCTTCTCCTATTAGCATGTGATGTAAACAGCACGGACATACCAGTATATTTAGAACTTAAATAATTTTCATATGTGTCTGAGAGATTTATTTCCAGTGTTTGACTTCTAATGCTTCCACTGCTATCTTTCCACAATGTAGGAAGAAGAATTTAAATGGCTTTTACAAGAAGAGGTCCATGCTGCTTTGAAACAGCTGCAGGATATTTTGAAGGTAAGGTTAATTTGCTCCATCTGTTTTTTGTGTTGTGGGTTTGTTTGCTCTCCCATGTGAGAAATGGTAGTATATTTCCTGTGGAGGAAAGAATTCCTGGTAGAAGGTGCATAGAAAGGTCCATCACACGTGTCCAGTACTGTCCCAAGCGTTTGCTTGCCCTCTGGTGTCAAGGACTCACAATAAAGCTGACTTCCCCTAGATTGCTCTGTTCTTGACCCTCTTTTCTGAGAGAGAGCTGCTTTGAAAAGGTACATGGCGGCACCCAGACCTGTCTTCCAGGCATTTGCCCAAGTTGTGAATATTTTCTGGAACAGAGAATCTGGATCTGCCTATAACTCTGTCATATGGTGGTGGAAACGAGCATGATAGCCTTTAGCTGACAAGCTACTACTTGTGCAGTAATTAGTAGCATGCACTCTCTTCATTAAAAAACATCCTTCCCTTGATACATACACCTCTCTGCTGGTACCTGTCCCTTCCAGAGGCGTGAAGTGTTCAGCTGAACCAGGCCTGCAGCACCTTTTGCCAGCCTGAGCGTGGGCTGCCAGGTTCAGCTCTTTCTAGGTCGCCAGGTGGTGAACTGGCCAAAGGGGATTGTGTGCACAAGAGTTCACCACTCTCCTGCTAGGTTAGTTTTCAACAGGCCCAGCCCCTTAACACTCTGAGGTTTCCATGAGGGTTAGTGGGTGATGCAAGGACAGGGGCAAAAATGTGGAGGTGAGGGCGGGTGCCAGAGGAGGTAGGAGTGCCGTAGTGCTGACCAAGGACATGGCTCAGTAGCAGGTAACAATAACCTGCAGTATCTGTATATATAGTAACTGTTTTGAAGAATTTGTAATAGTTTTAAGGGTGAAGTGTGATTAAAGGACAGTCATCAGCCAGTATAACCAGTCAGGAGTGCTGGTTTTCTCTCCAGACTTCCCATGTGGGTAAGGGACCGGAGGTGCTTGCACTGTGCAGCCCAGGGCAGCGAGTGCACTGAGAAAGGGGCAGCCCCATAGTGCCCGAGGGCAGGCAGGGCTGGGCTGTGTGGAGTGCCACTCCTGCTGTGGACAACTTGGCAACCGCTCTGGGCATTGTCCACCTCACCTGGCTCTGGAGTGTGGAGCTGGAGCACGGGATTTCCAATGCCTTTCACCATGAGCTGTGTGCACTGAGTCTTCTGGGCTGTGCCTGTCCTGCAGGAGGATGAGGGAACATCCATGTGCTCTGCTAGGTGGGTTGTGGGAGGCTTGCAAAGGTGACTGCTCTGCGTTCAGCCACTTGCCAGCATCTGCATTCTGCTCTTTTTCCTTGCTTGTGGTGCGCTGCGCCCAGGTGGATGCTCCAGCACTCACTATGTCCTCTCTTGGTCAGGAGGCCTCTCACCGGTTCACCCTGCCTGTGAGTGGCTCGGGAGGAGCCGTCAAGCAGGAGAACTTCGTGCTGAGCACATTGGGGTAAGTGGTCATGGGGTGAGTGGGTCGCTGCTACTCTGCCAGGCCGCTCCAGTGAGGGCTGCCGCTCACAGTGATGCCTGTGTTTGTGCTGGGGGCTTCCATGTGTAGCAAAGGGCACTGTGCCTTGAGCGTCTGCAGCAAAGGTCTCTACAGCATCCCCAGAGTAAAGGGGTTTTTTTTAATGTCAGATTTCACCTTAAGGAAAACAAATGAACAAACTCTTGTGGCAGGTTAACGTAACAGTCTAACCATGTTCTAGGGGCTGCCTTAGCTAGACTTGTGCCGTTTCCTACTGACATCTATAATACAGCCATTGATTCCCAACCGTGCGCTGGTGCGTTGCATCAGTGTGCTGCTGTCAGCAGTTTTGCCAAAGGGCAATTTTCTGATTCTTGGCTCAGTTTCTGACTCTGACTGTGGACAAATCTTAACCTTTGTCCTAATCTCCCTAAAATAGCAATAATAAATCTACTTCACAAGAGCAAACCAGGACTTGTGCAGAAGGTGCTATGGAAGTGCAATTATTCTGAAATAGCTGTCCATTTTTTGATCTTCAGCATAGGCCTTGGTCCGAATAGCTGCACTCTGGCAGAGGTCACAAGCTTGTTGCAAAGTAGGAGACCTTAGTCTTTAGAAGCAGCATGGTGAGCATTTTATAGGATGATGCAATGATTCTGTATTGGGTTTGAAGGTTGCACTCTTCAGATCTTAAAGTATTAAAGTTGATTCTAGTTTTCATTCATTGTTGTTGCAAGGTGGATCTTAAAAAGTGTTGATCTAAAGAGTCTCTTTCTAGTGTATTAAAATATAAGGTATGGCTAAACTGAGTTCTAGAAGGCCCAGGTGCTTCAGTCTTCCCCCACTGCTCCTCATAGATGTGAGCCATCTTGCAGGACCTTTTAAAGGGTTTGGGGTGGGGTTTTTTTTGTATGTTTAGGGGTTTTTTTCTTGTTGGGGGGGCAGGGTGAGGTGTGTAGGTTTCAACTCCCATATGAATCATGTAGCACTCCAATGTCAGTAATTTGTCTAATTTGTGTTTGTGTCTGCTAGAGCTGTTTGTAACAGCAACCAAATTGTTGATAGTAATACATGTAAGAAGCATGGAATCAGAAATGAACATTATGTTTTAGGCAGGGCAGTTAGGGTGAGGTGGCTCATAAAGAATATGACAGCAGCTGGCCGCAGGCCAAGAGCTGGGGACTTGAAAGTGTGTGTAGAGTGCATCTGCATCCCCCAGCTGACCCCTGGAAAGAGGGGAACTTGGCTAGCTACATGCAACAGGGAGGGGCAGTAACGGGTTGGCAGTTTGAGTAGGTGTCTCTTGCCTCCTGTGACTTGTGTTGCCTAGATCTTTCTTCTCATTCCAGCACAGACCAGGTGAAAGGTGTGTTGACGCTGCAGGGAGATGCCCTGTGTCAAGCTGTGAGTACTTGCTTTGCACTACCATCAAGGAGTGGGAGTCATCCTTATTATGCTTTGATGACCTCAAGGGAGAGGTCATTCTTATTATGCTTTATCAGTGATCAATAAGTATTCCTTGTCAGTCTTCCCTAATAGGCTTTAAATCCTTAACGTTTCAGCAGCTGTTGAAATTTGTCAAGATCCAGCATCTAAACCTCCCCCCCAACACACAAACGCAAACACACACATTCTGTGGTGAGTGGTGGAGTCGACTTTCATGGGGATTTCTTGCCTTTACCACCTGTGTTGTGTAATACCAAATTTCCTTGGGGGCCTTCTGAGATGAGGTTGTGTGTCCTGTCTGGATCCAGATTTACTAAATGCCTTTCAACTTATCCTTTGTATTAACATCTTCCTGTAGGAGGACTGAGGTTCTGGCTGTGCCAGGACTGCTGAAAGCAGCTTGCCAAGATGATCTGGGAGACAGAATGGAGTGAGACTGGCAGTCTCAATGTTCTGCATATGGGCATTGCTTGCTCTCACGTTTGTTTCTCTCTTCAAGGACATTAATCTGAAAATGCCCAGAAATAATCAGCTCCTGCACTTTGCATTTCGGGAAGACAAGCAGTGGAAATTGCAGCAGGTACTGTTAACTTTAGATGCCTGACCCTCTGTAGCACCTGCACTCTCCAAGCACTAGCTGTAGCCCCTCACTTTCCAAGAGAGAAGGTTATGTCCATCCTACATTAGCTCCAGTAGTAAAAGCTAAGGGAGGAAACAGATGCAATTAAATTCAGTTGTGGTGCTAGGAGAGAGAGGTGGGTTCTGCTTGTTCCTGAAACACCAGCATGCTGAAGGCTGTCTGCATAGCAGTATGATTATCCTTTAAAAGGAGTGCCTGGGGTGCCTGTGCAGTACTGGCCTTGTGTCTGCTTGTAAAACCCAGGCTAGCACGACAAAGAGCAACTTCAGAGGCTTTGAGTAGCTTGCTCTCATTCTCTTATGGAAGCATTTCTTTATGCTGAGAACAAATCTCACTGCATTGTGCTCTTGTAGCACAGCTGAGTTCTCTCAGTTAAGGAGTTGAAGGCATGTGGCTATCCAGAACATTGAATCTCTTTCACACCATTTTGCTGGGAGATACCTGGTTTCAGGGCCTGCTCTAGTGCCTGATCTTGAAGACATAGTTTCCCACACCTGCCTTGTCATAGCTGAGTAGGTTGGAGAAAGATGTATTCCATGTGCTTCACTACGCCATGGCTCAGAGTTTTCTAGGTGATCAGTGCATATGGTCTTGAGTGCAGTTTCCAACGGCTGCTTTGGCAGCAGAGTGAAAGCTCTATGTGGTAACTTTGTAGAAATCTAGAAAATTGTGTACTTGAGATTTTAAAGCCAAACTTACTGAGTTTATTTATGCCTCACAACAAGGCAAGGAAGTTTTTGTGATAACACTCAGCAGTGCATCCTATTTTGTGGGTGTTTTGTACTGCTGCCTGGTTGATAGGCTTCTACCAGTTTTTATGGAAAACACCTTCCTTTATTTACTTGGAAGAGTTTTGTGTTCTAAAGTTGTTCAGATGTGGAACGTGAGTCCCTAAAGGACTCTGTGCAGAAGCATTTACAGTGATTATGTGGAGATCTTTGTCCTCTGTGAATTAAAAATGAGCATCTCAAAGTATTGTGAATTTCTTCCCCTAGTGAGTGGTGCCAGCTGGAGTTTTGTTTCTCTGTGCAAAGCCAAGTCACTGGTAAGAAATTGTAGTATAGGCACATTTTTGAGGAACACAAGTTGCAGGCACTCGAGTTTTGAAGAACTTGATTAGAAAGCAGAGCAAAATCAAGGGGGAATAGGAATGAAGCAAGTCCTTATAATAGCAGGACTGGTATTGCTGGGTTGGGTAATGCTGCCAGGAACCACTTAGCTTGCTCAAAAGCATCTGGGAGATGTAAAGGCTGGAGCTGGTGATGTTTGGAGATGCCATAGCCCAAGTACCTGCAGAGTCTCTCTGTAGTCTCACAGTGGACTTTACCATCTCTCTCTTCTCTCTGTAGCATCTAGTGCCTTGTGCTTTCTAAGACCAGGGCTGTTCTGTTACCCCTGAGCTCTGGATGAGAAGGAACCAGTGCCCAGATGTATGCCAGGGAGGTCTCTACAAGGCTGAGATGGGAGGGTCTGGGTTTGCTGGGGAGCGGTATAGATGTATCAAACTACAAATATCCCAAGCTGTGTTATCCATCTCCCAGCAGCCACCTCTCATACAGGCTTCCCTGCTTACCTTTTTCATTTGTTGTACCCTCTGATTTACCCCTTTGCTTTTTTTCAGTTTTCCTGCTGCTGCCTGGAACTGAACACAAATCTCTTTCTCCCAAGGCCATTTTCTTCTTCCTCTGTTTTGTCCTTGCTCCCATTAAAGCACTGGGATACACCTATCAACCTTGCTTTGATAATTGTCTCCTGGCTGCAAGTGGTCTTGCTTGAGAGGGACTTGAGCTAGCTGTGTCCTGAGTCTGGTCAAGTTCCACACAAGTGGTGCAATGGCAGCTTCTTGATGCTGGAGATAACTTTCAACCCCAACAATTATAGTTTAGAAGGACTCTGGAATACTGCCAGAGATGCTATATTAGAAATCAATGTTTGCTGCTCATTGCTGCTATTGATGTAATTTATCTTATTGGTTTTAGCTCTAATAGTTCCCAAGGAAAAAATCATTATTCATGTTGCTAGACCTGACTGCTGTATACCATCAACAGTGCAAATTCCTACCTGAACAGTCATGATCAGAGTCCTCCCAGGATGAGAGTGCCTGATGTCACTGTTCCTTCAGGGCAGCAGCAGTATTTTTATTGACAGTCCAGGTTGTAGCTCTCAGACTGTTTTGCATCTCCAGTCCTTGAGTGAAGAACCCAATAATGCATCTGGGCAGCAGTGGTAGATTTGTGTTAGTGAGTGTCTGGTACTCAGAGACAAATGGCCTTAGCATTTGAGAAGTCACCATTTTCTTAGGGCCAACCGGATAATCAGGGAAACCTCTACTTCCTAGTGTATTTTATAGAGAGTGTTTCTTTAATAGGGCTGCATTTGTACCTTTGCAGATTCAGGATGCTAGAAACCATGTTAACCAAGCCATTTACCTGCTTACGAACAGAGATGTAAACTACCAGTTCAAAACAGGCTCGGAGGTTCTCAAGGTGAGGAGAAAGCCCTCTCTGCTTGGGTAGGAACATGCATTTTTCTTCCCTCCATTTGTGGTTTTAAACACAGTTAATGCACATTGCTGTCTTGAGTCTCTCACTGGAAATGGATTCTCCAGCTGTACCTATATATACCTGTGTCAAGGAGTATCCATGTGACCTTATATTTTATATGAATCTATACCAGTTTAGCATCAGTAACAGGGTTATACATCATGGTGAATGGTAATCTGACCAGTCAGTGCCCTGTTGCACAGCAATGATATTCTGGGAACATCTCCCTTGATCTTTTTTGGGTGATGTGGTTACAGAGCTCATGCTCTTCCTTGTCAGTCAGTGCTTTTGGTGAGAGAAGAAATGAGGCAGTCATCAGCAAACAAAACATTACAGTTAGTACTTGTGATTTACTGATGATTTGAAAGTGATTTCTCACTTGCTAGTAGTAGTTGATGCGGTCTGATACAGACCAGCAGCTGCGTGGCAATAAAGCCCAGCCCTCTGCTTGGAAATGCTCTTTGAAGCTACTGGAGTTTCGACTTACTCATTAGAATCCATCACAATATCAAACATGAGAAAGCTAAACATTTTTTAGTCTCCACATGGGCAAGGGCTGCTAATAGGAAGAAGCTAGGTAATAAAACTATTTCCTTTTTATTTTTGGGTGGAAGTAGGAGAGAGAAATTAGTCATTATACAAAATGCCTTCATCTTAGCAGTCATGAGCTCTGTAACAGACATATGTTGCTTCCCACTTTTTTTCTGGAAAAGGAAGTCTGCCTGAGTAGAGCCTTTGAACTGTGGTTTCTGGCAGGATTGGACTCACAATGAGCTGGTTCTTTTCTCTAGTGCCCTAGCTCATAGATGGTTATGAACAGGGGAGAGAGGGCATTCAGCAGTTGTTGTACCCTGTTGTGGGAGAGGGGAAGACTAGAACACAGCTTGTTGTTTTTCCTTAATGCCTGCTCTTCAGAAGAGCTGATGATGAATTTGTTGATGTTTCCGTGGCACCAGTAATTGATCTCATGTTCTCTTCTTATTCTTCCAATGAATAGCTGTTCTCTCTTCAGTCCATGGTATTAAACACTCCCTGGCCTGTCTTATAAATGTCTGTGATGGTGGTAACAGTTAAACTGCATTTATGTGGGAGCCAATATGTCCCTGAATTCCTGGAAGAGTCGGGGGGGGGGGGGGGGCGGTGGTGGTGGTTGTTGTAAAACTTGCAAAAGGCTGTGGGATTCTGCAGCATGCTATCCAGAGCCGTCCAGGGATTGCCACTCAGCAGTGTACTGTACGTTATCTTGTAGCTTATGGATGCTGTGATGTTACAGCTGTCAAGAGCCCGAAATAGGCTTACCACTCCAGCCACTCTGACTCTACCAGAGATTGCCTCCAGTGGTCTCACAGTAAGTATGTGGTGGTCTAGATCTCCATACAGTCTGGCAGCATGCAACAGTTAGGATACTGTGCTGCATCCTGGTGGAAGTGGATTCCTGAAGTGTCTCCTGAGGCAGAGAGCACTGAAGTAGGTGCAAACCCTGAGCGTTTTTGGCTGCTTTGTATCTTCCTGTGGGAAAGCAGATGACTTGGGCATGAGGACTCTGGTTCTCAGAGAGTTGAGTTTTGTCCTCTTCCCTGGGAATCTTGTCAGGGATGATTTGCCCTTTTGAATGCTTCTCCATCCTCTTTTGCCACTGTCATGCACACACCATTTGATCAAGTGCAGCAGGAGGAACAACCATTGCCTGCAAGCTGCTCGGTCTTTGTTTCTTTTCTAATGTCCTCTCACTATGGGGTAACTGTAGTATGCCTTAGAAAAAGGTAGTGATTTCCCAGCATTAGAAATAATGGTCCTTTCACTGACAAAGAAACTGCTTATTTTTTCACCAGAAAATGTTCACCCCTGCTCTGCCTCCAGACATCCTTGTGAATTTCTATATTAACCTGAATAAGCTGTGCCTGACTGTCTACCAACTCCATGTGCTGCAGCTCAGCACAACCAAGGTGATGCCTACTATCTCTTGAGCCTTGTTTATTTACCTCTCCCTATGTCCCACTGTGAGGAGGAGATTGCACTGCTACATGGTACAATGTTATATGCATAAGATAATGCAGAAATTACTGTAACTGGTGTCTGTGTTTAGATCTGCTGCAGACAGAACACTGGCTTTAAATCTAGTTTGGGGCATGGCCTCTTAGTCCAGAAGAAAATACCAGTGCTCTGGAGGAAGCCAGTAACTATTTTTTGCCAAGTAATGCTTTATCTTTACAATATAGTTTGATAATTTTGCGTAATTTTGGAAGGGCATAATTGTATTAATCCAGTTTACATTGAAGTAGCATCTTGGGTTTTCTAAATGGAGTTTTGATGAATACTTTTCTGTTTCACCTGTTGCATTTAGGTCATCTTGATGTCCTGTAAAAACAGAACTAAACCCTTAAGCTTTAGGAAATGCAGTCCTTCCATAAGGATATTTTTCCTGAAGCCTATCTTTTGTTTCTTCTGGATCTTCTCATCTTGTTTTTGTGGTGCTAAAATTTGGAGCTACGTTGGACTCAGCCACTGTGTGGAATTTTTTTTCATGAAGGAGCAGGAAGGGATCAAATGACATGGATTCTATATGAATGGAGTATTCAGGCAGATACAGTATAGGCATTTCTTGATGTCAGGCTACTGAAAGTGCAAACCTTAAATGTCCTCCTTCTGAGTAGTTTGTTTACTGTGTCAAAATCCTAATGACCTTTTCCTTCTCCTCTAGAACTTCAAGCCTGCTGGAGGGTCCATTTTACACAACCCTGGAGCCATGTTGTAAGTACAGTCACTACGAGGGCTGTGTAACAGGTGTAGGAGTATGCTGAGGATGAGATCCAAATGGCTGTATGCAGTTTTGATTGTGGCATCTGTTAAGAGGAGAAGCTGGACTGAGTCGCTTGCTGTGGCTGTGCCTGTGAATGCACAGGTGCCCATAATAGTGTTTCTTTAATGACTTGGCCATAAAGGCCCAAAGACGTGACGTTTCAGGATACAGCCCACCCATACAGTGCCATGAGTTTGTCTAGAGATGAGTTGTCGACCAAAATGCACATTAGGTTATTGGCATGGCCATCTGCATTTCCTGCCTTTGTGCCTCTCTGGAAGGTGGTAAAGCTTCTACCTTAACCCTATTAGATTTAGCTTAACTCTAAATCTGATCAGAGGTAGACTGAGAGTTTGTATTCTATAACTTTACCAGGTGCTGTTTTAAATGTAGTAGAAATCATAGTGATCTCTTTTGTGAGAATGGAGGACAGTTGCGTTTTGTGTTCTGTGCTGTTGTGTGTGAAGCTGTGCTCTTTTTTCCCCTACTCCAGTGAGTTTGGCAACCAGCGGTATGAAGTCAGCCATGTCCATAAAGTGGAATGTGTTGTACCATGGTTAAACGATGCCCTTGTCTTCTTCACAGTTTCACTGCAGCTTTGCCAGCAACTGAAGGACAAGGTAAATGGCCTTAGAGAAGGGGCTTTGTTTTTAACTCTGGATTTTGAGAGGACCTCGGATCTCCTAAAAATCTGATGTGATGTTATTCTGTACAACTTACATATAAACTGAAAATAAGTGATGAGTCAGTGCTCTGGAGCCAGGGAGCTGGCTGGCACTGGCTAGCAGACAGCCATCAGGGATAAGCGTAGTAGTGTGGCAGATGTGTTTGCTGAACTGGTGACTAGATGGAGAGGAGCAGGTAGACACTGTTGTGTTCTCAGTCATGAGCTGGATGTGAGGAAACGCCTGGGTGCTGGAGAGGAAGCATGGAGACCTCAGCAAACTAGATTCCAGTAGACCAGTATTCAGTTCCAGCTCTGCAGCTGACCTGGCTGCCACCTTGAGCAAGTAACTTTGTGCTCCAAGCCTCTTCAGTGACAGTAGCAGCAAATCTGCCCTTTTGCAGTGCAGTGCTGGAGTATGTAATGCTGTAAAGCTCAATCTTCATACACACATTATACTCTTTCTTCTATGGCCCATGGGATACAGGAACTTACCTGCTTTTCTTCTTGCTTTCCAGATCTCTGTTTTCTCCAGTTACTGGAACTACAGGCCATATTAATTCTCTGTGGAGTGTCCAAGTCCTTAGAGTACTTCCACTGTCTTCCTGTTTGTTTTCAACATGCCAGCTGAGTCCAGGTCAGCATGAGGAGTGCTGTGGTTCACTGCCACGTGGCCCTCCATAGGGTAGGGTCAGTGTATCCAGACACAACTTTAGTAGCCTTGTCTGGGACTGCTGCATAAGCGGGGCACCAAGCAATGCTGTGTGGTTGGTGAGAGCTTCCATCTGTCTTTGTTCTCATGTGGGTTGTGTGGTTTACACTTTCCAAGCCTCTGATGAATTGCACTAGTCCGTTACAAGGGATGGGGAGCTGTGGACCACTCTCTAACTGTATTTGCACACAGTGCTGTACTAACTGCTGGACTGTGAGCTGGCTGGGAAGGGATGAAAGCAGACTAATTGAACATACCACAAAAAGTGTAGGGCATGCTGCTCCATGTAGTGAAATGTGTTGCTGTGATTTGGTCCAGCTGTGGTTATGACCAGCCCTGAGCTTCTCCCTCTCCTGTCTGTTTTGTCCATGCCTATGTTATTGATTCCCCTTTGGGAATATTTTTAATTGCTGCTGTTTGAACTCTTCTTTTCCCTGGCATCAATGTGATAATTTTTTTTTTTTTTTTCCTAAGCCCTAGTTGGGCCAGTTGGTTTTTTCCAGGTTTAGTATCTTGTTTTCACTGCTAGCCTTTGGAGCTGCCTCGGTATCTTGAGCACAGCTGTGCAGTCTCACATCCTGTCATTAAACCCAAAGTGAGTACCACATTGTTACTACGATTTGCTGCCTACCTATGGATGCTACAGTATGTAACTTGTCCCTCTAGCCATTGATAACTGTGAAATAAAGATCCTCAGACCTGCCATGCTCCTGTGGGCTGTCAGTGCTGAGAATGAAAGAGTATCAAAGATTATGTGCTCTCTTAGAAGTGAGTGGCTGTTCTTATGCATGCTGAATTACTGTTTGCCTTACTGGGAGGACAGTAATGGTCTCTGAGGGCAGAGCTGGGCAGCTCTTCGAAGGCTGGGCCTGGTTTGTGTAGCATCAGCCCAGTGCTGTCTGACACCTGAGTACTACCTGAAGTACTTTTCCAAACTTCCTTGATGGTTGTGTTTGGAAGAGGCTGTAGATACTGAGGCTGGGTTGGGCTGGCTCATGGAGCTGGCTGTCAAGTGGTGAGGAAGCATCACCTGTTTCCTGCATGGCTCCAGCTAGCCCTGTCTAGCCTGTGTTTCTGCTGGCTTTCCTCACTGGAGTACCTTACCCAGGAGCCTACATGTGTGCTGAGGTGAAGAATGCAGGCTCACCATGTTCCCTACAAAACGTCAGGGCCATTGGAGCCTATCTTGACAGCATGGTTGTCAAGTACTATCCAGAGGGCTGTGCTCAAAAGGGAGAGATCACAGAATGGTTGAGGTTGGAAGAGGACCTCTGGGGTCTATCTGGTCCAGTTCCCCTGCTCACGCAGGGCCACCCAAAGCCAGTCTCCCAGGACCATGTCCAGGTGGCTTTTGAATAGCTCCAAGGATGGAGACTAGAAATAGATATGTTGCTTTGTTTTTTTTTTTTCTGCATAGACCTCTGCTCTGGGTATGTGTGGCCTACCTTGTCTGCAACCTCCCTTTCTGTTCCTTTGTGAGATCCCTGGGATCTTGAGTGGGTTAGTGCCAGCCTTGTTACTGCTGCAGCCTCCTTCTCTGAGGACTTGATGCTCTGCTTGGTCTAATGCATGCTAATATTACAGGTTGCAGGCAGTAACAGAGCCTACAAATGAGTATCGGGCTGTGACTGATGAATGTTTGTCGTGGTTTAGCCCCAGCCGGCAACTAAGCACCACGCAGCCGCTCGCTCACTCCCCCTACCCCGATGGGATGGGGGAGAGAATCGGAGGAGTAAGAGTGAGAAACACTCCTGGGTTGAGATAAGAACAGTTTCATAATTGAAATAAAGTAAAATAGTAATGTCAATAGTAACAGTATAATAATGATAATAATAATACTAATGATACACAAAGCAAGTGATGCACAATGCAATTGCTCACCACCTGCCGACCGATACCCAGACAGTTCCCGAGCAGTGATCGCTGCTCCCCGGCCAACCCCCCCCAGTTTATATACTGAGCATGACATCATATGGTATGGAATAGCCCTTTGGTCAGTTTGCATCAACTGTTCTGGCTGTGCCCCCTCCCAGTTTCTTGTGTACCTGTCAGAGCATGGGAAGCTGAAAAGTCCTTGACTAGCATAAGCAGTACTTAGCAACAACTAAAACATCAGTGTGTTATCAACATTCTTCTCCTACTAAATCCAAAACACAGCACTATGCCTGCTACTAGGAAGAAAATTAACTCTATTCCAGCCGAAACCAGGACAATGTGTTTGTTAGTAAGCAATGAAAAGTGGAAGGTAGAGAGGCCTGGATGGGCTGATGCAATAGCAGACTCATTACTGATTCCAGTCAATTAGCCTTATGACTAGCTGCGGTCATGACCCTGGGTATGTGTTTACCAACTCTTGATCTGTCCCAGACCATTCTCTGCTTAGAAAGTGATTGTGCATGTGTGGAACTGCTCACCATTGACAGCTTCTTGGATGAGAATATTATTATAGTTAATAACCTCTCTGGAGTGGTCTGTGCTCTTCTTTAACCCTCCCTGTGTATGGAAGAGGCTCCTTTTTTAATTCACACTAGTGTGTGCAGTCCAATCAATGTTGCCCCATCCTCTCCAACTATAGGGATATAACATGCAACCCAGTGTGTGTTGTTTTCTTCTGATGAAAATAGTCGTCTTCAGTTCTGGAGGATGGGAGTGTGCAAAATGGAATACCTGTCCTGATTCCAGCTCTGCACAGTGGCTGAGTCGTGAGGACTGCTGGGTGGCAGTGGTACTTGCTACAGGAGACTGCCTAGGTTACTGTTACAGAACAGGGTAACAGCAAGGTAGGTGGAATTCAACAGGAGAGGCTGGCCCAGAGCCCTGGTTGGTACCCCATGATTTGAAAGATAAAACAAGGGTCCACCAATTTAAAGACTTAACAGTCTCTTTTCCCCACTAAACCTCTGAGTGCAGAAGAAAATTTACAAGGCCCTAAGGGCTCTGCTTTTGCAGCCCAGTGAAGTTGGTACTGGGATAGCTACTGGCAGCCCACCCATCCCTTTGCAAATGCAACTCAAACATGCTGTGGGCCATAATCTTTGGCAAGCACTTGGCAGTACAAGGTGTGTGTGATGTTTGGGCTGCTTTGCAGTACTGCAAGGGCTTTTGATTGGTACATGCACTGATGAATGCTGCTGTGCAGCTGGAACAGAATGAAATAATCAGACTGCCTTTTCCTGGGCTGGGTTTTTATTCTCTCTTTTTAGCTTCCTTTGGGGAAGCTATAGTTCTCATGAGCAAAACCTTTCCTGGTGGTGCCTTTCTTTTTTCCTTTTGCCCACAGAATCACTACTTAGTCTTCAGGGGATAGAGGTCTGCTGCTTAGATCCACTGGCAGCCTGCTTTTGATGGGTCTAGCAGTTGAGTTGCTGGTGCCTGGGTGCTGCTGGTTCTGGAACCACAGAAGACACTGATCCATGGGCCTCTGCTGCTGAGCTTCTACATGCCCTTCGAAAAGGAATTAGAGTTGCCTGAACTAAGATGGAGAAGACGTTTGCTGGGCAGCTTTCAACCACAGCACTGCAGCAAGCTAGTGATAGAGCAGAACACAGACTGAAAGATCAATGAAGAAAGTTTATTTTATGGCTGCCTCTAGTCTGTCTCAACCTGAGCAGCTATTTCTGCATTGTCCACAGAGTAGTGACAGACAGCAAGCAGAAGCCCATGCTACTCTTCCCAGAATCTCAGCACTGAGCAGACAAGAACGTCTTCATGCTGAGCTCAGCTAAGGCTAAATGTTTGTAAAGATATAATAATTTTTTTCTTGGAGTTGAAGTTGAAACTAAAGGTATTTCTGTGTGCTGATGCCAGTCTGCTCAAGTATTGCCACTGCCAGGACTTGCTTGGAATTGCATCTAACATCCCTGGTCTCATCCTGCCTTCCAGCTATGGTGGAAACATTGGAAGGGCATGTACCACCACTCCCATTCATGAGTAGGTGCTTGGCTGTCCTTCAGGGTGCCGCCTTCTGGAGTCAGTGTTCTCAGGACAGAATCGGACCTTTCTTGTTCTGTATGTGGCCCAGCAAAAAGGGTCACCCTTGCCCCATCATGGGATCACCTATGGGGACACAGAGTATCACCCTAAAGCAGAGGGACTATACCAGTTGAAAACCTGGCTCTGCCTGGGACTGTAAGGATGCTAGGTGAGGGGGTGATGTTTTTCAAATTGGTGGCATTGCTAATCTTCAGGATGAAGAACAAGCTTTCTCTTTGGTGCCCCAAGCATCCTCTGCAAAGGCCATAGGGAGGAGGGAGCCACTGCATCCTTGCACAGAGCAGTTTCATCTTCACATGCTTTTGTGTCCCCTGGGAAGAGTGAGGCAAACTGTTTCTAAAGTTGATGCAGCACATAAAGGAAGATGGCTCACTGATGACATCCTCCAAATGTCTCTGCAGGGTTCAGACTAAAAGGGTTCCCAGAAGCTGTGGCTGTGCTTTGAAGCATCTTCAGAGCCTTGTGCTGCCTCTTTTAATGGACCTTCACAGCCAGGGACAGTGCTATGTTTTGCTTTCAGTCCTGATGGAAATTAAGCCTGTAACGGAAGGGCTGGAGCCCAAAACCCTAAAAAGAAGCATCACTGGGACTCCCCATTCAGTCACCCCAGAAGGGATCTTAGTGTGAGGATGCTCACACAGCATGTTTTGGTGAGCCTGGAAAAGGATCCAGCCTCTAGCTGGAGGGAAACAATAAATTTCTCCTACTTTCTCCTTGCCCTCACTCCCTGGTAGTTCCCATGACTGCTGGCTCTGCATGGGGGAGCACCTGTTCTCTTGGTTTCAGTAGCTGAGGATGAACTGTGGCTTGTAGCTGAAAAGTCTGCATTAAGGTACTGTATCTTACAGGGATTGTGGTGTGGACTGACTCAATTGGGTGTATTGGCCTAGGATGGTATTGCAGGTACCATGCAAGGGGTTCGCATTCATCTACGTACAGAGAATAGGAAGGGCAGTTGCTAAGGTTGTAAGGAGGATGGAAGTGGCTGGGCAGCTCTTGGCACTCATGGTGAAGACAGTCCGATTTGTAGGTGCACCGGAGGGAAGAAGCAGGAAGAGTTTTTCTGTCCAGCTGTGAGGTGGAGGAGGGTTTAGGGCTCCATTGCCATG